ATTTTACTAGTTAGCCACTTTTTGATATCTTTTGCAGAAAATGAGATATATAGGCTCAAAGTGGACGATCCGGGTGTCGTTCTATTAGAGGTTTTACGGTATTTTTAAAGATTCTTTTTCGGTTTTTCCGAATTTTTGTCTGAAATTTCATCTTCTCGAAGATTACTGTAGATTACTCTAGGCAACGAATTTCCTTTATTGTCTATTCAAAATAATGGTGCGAGTGAACGAGTAAAAATGTCTGCGTCTCTACAGCGCTTCTACAGGTTTGGAGACTCTCTACACGTTTTTTTACTCGTTCACCCGCGCGATTATTTTGAATAGACAATAGTGGTTTTTTTTGTGTCAAACAAAATGACGTGAAAATGCAGAAAAAAGGAAATTTGTTGTCTACAGTAATCTTCATGAACACCGTTCCATAGAATTTCAGACAAAAAAACCGGAAAAATCGAAAGATTCTTCAAAAATAGCTGAAAAATCTAAAAAGGTTTAAAAATTTGCGAAAAATCGCAGAAAATGCTATTTTTCGAAGTTTTCAGTTCTGGCGGGAGTTCAAAAAAGATTCGAAAATCTTCCAAACGTTCTAAAAATAAACTTTGAAGCCATTTTTAAAGATTTTTATATGTTTTCCTACACATTTCAATACAATAAAACTGGAAAACCATGATTCCAGGCACTCCAATCCTTCCATTCCACAACGGGGAACATGCTCTAGAAGTTCACGAAGGCGAAGTGCTCTTCCAGTACGAATACCAGCAAAAAATGATGCTCCTGGCCCAATACCCAAATCAACCCCGCCAATCTACCCAACTGATGGATGAGCAATTCTATCAGCAACACGCAATGCAGCACTATCAAAATCAGATGAATCTAGACTCTCCAGCAAGTCAAAATGGAGAAACTTCTGGAAATGCAGCTAAAAATTCGAAGAGTCCCGCTGCGAATCTTCTCTTAAAACAGCTTAGTTTTATGAAGAAGAAACAGGAGTCTCCAGTGCCAAAAGCGGCTCCAGAGCCTGTGATTCCAGTTAAAAGACCGGCGAAACCGAATAAGGAGAAGGAGAGAGGCGAGAGATACATTCCAGAACCTTCTAGACGGAACAGGTACAGCTTTGTGGCCTAGAAAACCGCCAAATTAACGTTCTTCCATTTTCAGATCCGATCGTCGTGATCGCTCTCCAAAACGCTCTCTAGATAGAAGGGGAAATCGAGAGGAGCCTTCTAGAAATAACAGAAGACGTTCACGCTCCAGAAGTCTTACTTGGTCCCCGGAGAATCAGAGGAATTCCTCTTCTAGAAAAAATTATGAAGACGTGGATAGGCGGAAAGCTGGGAGATCGGAAAAGAGGAGAAGGGAAAGATCTGAGTAAGGGAATTACCGTAAAACCTGTATTAGAAGGGCATCTGTAAAGGGGCCCTTCTAATAGAGGTCTAGAGTTGTCTGTTGACCAGTTTTTGATTTTCTAGGGTTTCTAGGTCCTTCGGATTTTGGGAGTTTTTAGAATTTTTGGATTTTCAGAAATTTTTAGATTTTAGGATTTTAGAATTTTTGGATTTTCTGAATTCTGAGATTTTTGAAATTTTAGGATTCTTTGAATTTTTTGCGTTTTTAGGATTCTGAGATTATTCGAATTTTTAGGGATTTTTTTCGGAAATTTTGAGATAATTAGAAATTTGGATTTTTAGAATTTTTGGAATTTGGAATTTTTAATATTCTTACGATTTTTTAGATTTGGGATTTTAAGATATTCTTAGATTTTCAGGATTTCAGAGGTTTTTCGAATTTCCCATATTTTGGGATTGTTCAGGTTTCTTAGATTTTGAGATTTTTAGGATTTGTCGAATTTTCCGGTTTTTGGGATTTTCAGATTTTGAGACTTTTGGGATTTTTGTATTTCAAGAATTTTAGGATTTTAGGGTTTTGGAATTTTTAAAATTTTTAGTTTTTTTTTCAGAAAACTTAAAAATTGCTATTTCCGAATTTTAAATTTTTCACATATCCTTTTTTTTCAGCTCCTCTTCGGATTCCGACTTCGAACGCCATGAGCGACGTCAACGAAAGAAGGAATATCATCATCACAAATCGCGGCAATGATAATTTAATTTTTGATTTCTCTTGTTTTTTGGATTCTAAAACACATGTTTTTTTTCGGCTATTCCTATGATTTTTATGATTTTTTTTAAATCCTTAATATCCAATTTCTTGGATTCAACTCGTTTTTTACTGTCTCTTGTTCTATTCCTAATTCTATGAACATTTTCCGGGTCTCTCAATTGTCTTTTTCTTTAAATTTTCAGAAGTTATACCATCCAAATACCACTTTCTCGATATTTTTCCCAGACTAATTTTTAGACAATTTGGCAAAAATAGCTCATATTACAGATGCCACGTGGCATCGTGCTCACAAACGGATCGCCAGGCGCCGGAATGGTCTATAATATGGTGCTGATTTTTGAGGACAACTATTTGGTAAATTCTGAAATTTTTCAGAGAAATCCAAAATTTTTGAATTTCTGAAAAAAAAATTAAAAAATTTTGGTTTTTCTAAAAATCTGAGAAACCCCTTTTCAGTCAGTCCGCGACTTCAAACTGATCGCTGTCAACAAACAGAAGACCAAGAAACAGATTAAACAGACGTAAGCTTTCTCCTGGTGGCCTAGAAATTTCCTAGGCCATTGTTCTTGCAGGCCACGAGGACCCAAAGAAATCGAACGACTCGTTGATGCAGACTTGCTCTATGGACAAACGCTGGCATGGGATGAGTATGATGAGCAGAATCGGAAAGTTGAGGTTTGGGCAAGGGTTGTGCAAAAAATAGGCAAGATTTGAGCAAAAAGTGAATCAAAACTATGCGAAAATAAGGTGCAGAGAATCGGCAAGTAATGGGCAAGAAATGGACAAAAAAGTACAGTAGACAGTAGATCAATTTATGGGTAGCGCAAGTAATGGACAAGATATGGGCAAATCGAAAATGAGGTACAGAGAATAGGCAAAGGTTGGACAAATAATGGGCAAGGCTTGGGCAAGTGATGGGCAAATCTAGCAAAGATAGGCGTAATAGGCAAACTTAGGGCAAAAAATGAATCAAAACTAGGCGAGAATGAAGTACAGAGAATGGGCAAGATTTGGGCAAGCGGCAAGAATCAAAACTAGGCGAAAATAAAGTACAATTTATGGGCAAGCATAGGGCAAGAAATGGCCAAAACATTTGCAGTTCGTCTATGACTACGCCCGTGTCCAACCAGTCTACCCGTGCCGTATTAGTGAAGGAAAAACGCAACTTCTATTGCACGGCATCATGTCCAGGAATCGGAAAGTTCTATGGATGTGCAATATTTGGCCAGATTTGGAGATTCGTAAGTTTCTAGCTATAAAAAGATCCGAGACTTCGGGTTTTTAAGCCAAAAATGCTGAATTTCTACTGCAAAAAGCTCAAAATTGAGTCATTTTGATCCAAACAGTCCCCAGAAAGCTCGAAAATTCGAGTTTTTAACCCAAAAAAGTTAAAAAAAATCAATATTCCAGCATACCGAATCCAACATGACGCCCATCCAAATGTAGTCGTCAACGCCTGGGTTACTGTACAAATCGAAGCGGACCACTCGCTGACCTACGAGCTTCACTCGTTCCACGACACAGCAGATTCCTTCCAACACTGTGTAAAAGATGCGAAATGGAATGAGGGGATTCAAGGATTCCTTCAACAGCAGGTGGATCCACTGGATAACACTCCAATGGCGCCAGAATTCGTTCAACCGATCTCTGATATGCTCACTGGAATGAAGGGATATGTGCTGTCGAAAAAAATTGTGATTGCTTATGAGGAGAAGCATAAGGATGTGTGTTTTCATCGAATTGTGATCAGGGATGGAGATCGGTATCCGGCGATTGGTAAGCTGCTCGAAAAGTCGCAGAAATTAGGCCTGATGGCCATTTTTAGCTCAAAAATTAGGAAAAATTCTACCAAGTTAGCGCGCCGGAGACACACCAAACTTTAAAGGCGCATATCTCAAAAATAATGATAGCTAAAACTTTGTCAACTACAAAATTGCTCAGCATAAAGTTTTACATATTTTTTTAGTTGACAACTTCTTCCTAGCTACCGTAGTTCTGGAGCGCCTTTAAAGTTAACGCGCGCTCACGGTGTTCTAAACATTTAGCAGACCCATGAGAGACGCAGAGAAGTAGACATTGGTCTGCTAATGTTTTGAAACATTAGCAGGCCAACGTGCCAAACATTAGCAGACCACTGTCTATTTCTCTGCGTCTCTCGTGGGTCTGCTAGTGATTAAGCAGGCCAATGCGAACACTAGCAGACCAACGAGACGCAGAGAAAGAGAGAGAGAAAGAGAGCGCATGGGTCTGCTAAATATTTAGCAGGCCCAAATTCCACCTTTCCGAACAATAACATCCCAAAGAGACGCAGAGAAAGAGATAGAGCGCATGGGTCTGCTAGCTATTTAGCAGGCCAATGCCTACTTCTCTGCGTCTCTCGTGGGTCTGCTAATCATTTAGCCTAAGATGGACCAAACTTTGAATGCGCATATCTGAAGAAGGAGAAAAGCCATCAAAATTTTGTCAACTACAATATTGCTCAGCATAGAATGTTACATATTTTTGTATTTTACAAATTTCTGCTAACTACCGTAGTTTGCGAGATATGCGCCTTGAAAATTTGTTTTCCAGGAACATATGTGACATTCAAAGCCGACCGTCTGGACTATCTCAATATTTATGCTATCAAAGAAGTCACCCCGGCAGGTGGAGAGTCAAATTTGCCGGTGACCAAAAACGGATTGGTAAGGGATGTTTTTGCGATTTTTGCGCTTAAAGATGCCAATTTGAAACCTTAAATTCGAGATTTTTAGACCGAAAATTGACTTTTTTAGGTTTAAAACTGACATTTTCCGTTTTTTTTTTCGAACATTTTGAATTTCCAGGTCCAAGTAAGCATCTCCAAAACCGACCACGATGGTTTCTACTATGCAAAAGCCTTGAAATGCTACGTGGATGACCCAGAGAATCATTTGGAGGCGTGGCTTATCTCGAAGTACAGTAATAGCACTCTTCGTGTTGGAATCACAGCTGCTGAGCCATCGGCAAAAGGAAATCCGCGTTTTGTGGTTGGAGAAATTACGGATGGACGGCTTCAGAAGATTGAGGAATTTAAGAAGAGTGACGAATACAGATTGAAGGATGAGCCGGGAATTGTGGTGGATTTCGTGGGAACTATTCATGCGCCGCGGTTGCCCAAAAGCAATTTTAGGTATTTTTGGACCTGAAAATGTCGATTTCGGGTCTTAGAATAACGAATTTGAATCTTAAAATAACAAGTGTATACCTTAAAACTTAGAAATTCGGTTCCAAAAATTTCAATTTTGGATCTTGAAAATAGCAAATTTCAGTCTCGAAAATAGTAAATCTTGACAATAAAATGTTTTTGGACCTTGAAATAACTAGTTTGGGCCTGAAAATGTCAAGTTTTGATTCCAAAAATGCGATCTATCGGTTCTAAAAATGCCAAATTTGAACCTTAGAATGTCAAATTTCAACCTTAAAATGACAAATTCAGACCTGAAAATAGCAAATTTGGACTTTAAAATGTCATATACCAGACCGGAAAATAGCAACTTTGGATTCAAAAAATTTCATTTTTTGGACTCTAAAATGCGATTTTGGACCTTAAAATGGCAAATTTGAACCCAAAAATGCGATTTTCGATTCTAAAAATACTAAATTTAGACTTGAAAAATGGCAACTTGGGAAAAAAAATTTTTATACCTTAAAATCTCAAATTTGGATCTTAAAAATGACAAATTTCCACTTGAAAATGCCAAGTTTAGATCTTAAAATAGCAAGTTTAGTGCTTAAAAATGAAAAATTCAGACCTGAAAATAGCAATTTTGGACCTCAAAATAGCAAATTTGGATCTTAAAATTGTCTGAAAAATCTGAAACTTCCAGAATCTCCGCAATCCAACGTGAATTCTTTCCACCGGGCACCCAGATCTTCTTCTCCGCAAAACGTGCCTCTCGTCGTTGGACCATCGAATCCATTAGAGTCAACGAGAGAACGCCAACAATTCGAGCAGTGATTGTGAGAAATGTAGAAACGGAAAAGGCGGCGGTGAGAAATTGAAAATTCTCTTGAAAATTCGATTTTTGGCTCTATCAGAAGCTTCAAAATGAGCCTAAATTCGCAAAAATTGGCTCCCAGCACGAAAAGTACAGTAATCCGAAAATCAAGCGGAACCTAGTCCTGTTTAAGCTCATTTTAAGGCTCTTGACGAGCTGAGAAAGCTAAAAATCAAACAATCTAGTTTCCGGGGAAAATTGAATTTGAAAACTTTAAAATAATAAAATATCAATATTTTCGATTTTTCTTGCCTCAAGCTTTTTTTTTTGCAAAAATCCAGTTTTTTTTGCATTTTTGACCTCCGAATCGGTTTCAGCTTGGCGAGAGCTTCAAAATGAGCCTAAACACGACTAGTTTCGCTCGATGTTCGGGTCCCCGCACAAAAAGTACAGTAATCCGAAAATCAAGCGGAACCTAGTCCTGTTTAGGCTCATTTTAAAGCTCTTGACGAGCTGAGCAATGATATAAAGGTTGAGTTTCAAAATTTTGAAAAATCAGCAAGTGAAAATCCGAAATTGCCATTCTCAGATCTGGTTCCATGTCCCTCGTGCTCGTGGCTGTAAAGAGCTCCCATTCCTGCTGAACTCCCCTCAATTCGGACTCCTCCAAACCCCGAACATCTTCAGAATCCGCCGCCAACCCGATCATTTCACATTTGAGAATATATGGATCAGTCTGAACGATTGCCATCCAGGGGAAGCCATCAAGCCATTCGCAAAGTTCAAGTACGCAGCAATGGATGATATTGAAGCGATTTCTCAGGTGTCTTTTTATAATTCGAGCAGCCTTAACCCCCAAAAAGTCGTACGACTTGCAGCCAATCCCAACGGTGATCATCAATTGTGTCACACCGGACTATCCGGAGCTCAGTGATTTGGAATCGCAGAAATCGGAGGTGGAGGATGTGGATGAGGTGCTTTGGGAGCAACAGAAGTATAATGAGACAGATGTGCCCGAAGTTTATGATGCTATGGGGGAGGACCAGTATCAGAGTGAGTTCTGGTATTCGAAATTTAGAAATGAGCTCGGCGTGAGCTTCAAAATGAGCTCAAACACGACTAGGTTCCGGGGATTACTGTACTTCTGGAACCCAATTTTTGAGGCTCATCTTGCTCTCCGCGAGCTAAGCAAGCCAAAAATCGACTTTTCAAAAAAAAGTGTCAAATGTCGTCAAATAAATGTCTGGGTACGCAAACACTCTCTGGCAAGGTAGTTGACTCGCAAAAACAAAAATTCGTCTGTCGGATGCTTTTTCCTCAATTTTCAAAGCGAATTCCTCTAGAAAATTCGATTTTTTGCTTGCTCAGCTTGCGAAAAGCTTCAAAATGAGCCTAAACACGCCTAGTTTCCCTCGAAATTGGGTCCCAGCACGAAAAGTACAGTAATCCGAAAGTTGAGCGGAATCTAGTCGTGCTTAGGCTCATTTTGAAGCTCTTGACGAGCAGAGACTGATTTTAATGAAGAATATCAATTTTCAGTTTTTCTAACTTCCCCAAAAACCCCCATTTTCCAGGTCAACAAGAGAAATACAAAGGCGTCAGCGTATACCAAATGCTTCACGACCTCCAAACATCTCCAGAATGGCGTCGTAGCCCATCGGAGTGCATCGTCCAACTCATCACAGAGCACTTATCGAAATGCACCGCCTGTTCCCAGCACCAGTTCTCCTACGATTGCTATTTCAACGAATTCCTTGCCAACGTGCTTCAAATTCAACCTAATATCGCCCCTGATCTCAAACAGGACATTGTTTCGATGATCGCCACGAGAAGATATCAGAGATAATTCTATATTTTTGCCCCCTTTTCCTTTTAAATTTTATACTTTTTTTGTCTGGAAAAATTTGCCAGTTATTCTGAAAAACAAACTCGTGTAAATGAATGTTTTTCTGTGTGAAAAAATTTGGAGTGCTCAGAATTGTGGGCGGAGACAAGGGGCGGAGCCTAATTCGTTGTTTTATTGGAAACATTGCAAAATAAAAGCAAGAAAAAGCAGCAAAACTGGGGAATGAAAGAAGCAAGATTTAAATTATTCGTTGTGTAGTTTGTAGTTTGTAGTTTGTAGTCTGACATCAGAAGCATCGAAGTTAGAGAAGGCTGAAAAATAGACTTAAATTATTTGCCAGGAAAAGTGGGCGGTGCTTAAATTCTGTATTTTTTGGATTATGGGATTTTCAGAGTTTCAAAATTCATAATTTTCAGAACTTTAAAAATTGTGGGCGGAGCCTAAACTGCTAGATATTATTTTTTTTTTTGGATTTTTTAATTTTTGGTTTTTTTGGAATTTTTGAGATTTTCAGAATTTTTGAATTTTTTTCAGAAAATCCACAAATTTCCCAAAAGTGGGCGGAGTCTAAATTTTTTATTTTTTTTTTAATTTTTTGAATTTTTGTATTTTTGAAAATTTTGAGATTTTCAGAATTTCAGAATACGGAATTTTCAGAACTTTTTGTGGGTGGAGCCTGAATTTTTGATTTTTTGGATTTTTTGAATTTTGGGTTTTTTCGGATTTTCGGATTTTTTGGCTTTTTAGAATTTTTAGAATTTCAGATTTTCAGAATTTTGGAAATAAGTCACAATTCAACATTTTCAGAGTTTAGAGTTTTGCGAAAAGTCTGAAAATTAGGCTCCGCCCACTTTTCCCGTGATCTTTGGTTGGAATTTTTGGATTTTCAGAATTTTCAGAATTGTGGGCGGAGCCTAAGATTTTTGTACATATTGCAAACTAGGCTCCGCCCACTTTTAAGTTTTTTGAATTTTCAATCTTAGAGAAGGCCAAAACAAAAAAGAAAAATTTTGAATTTTCAAAAAATGCAAACGCGCTCCACCGAACTTTACCCACCTGGATCTTAAGACTTGAAAAATCTAAGCTGTCCATTTGCATAACATCTGAGAAGGAATTCAGCATCATCGTAAGCATCAAAAGTGCACGGAACAATGACATACTCGCCAGGTGGCACACGGAATCTTACAGTAACCTCTCGGGTATTCACAAATATCGTAGTCTTGGCAATGGCACGGTTTCTGGAGAAGAATTCTGAAGTCAGAGGGATTCTAGCGCCTCCAGATGCTCCGACGGAGTAGATGGATACTCCAATCGGGAGAAGATCCTTTCCTTTGGATTTCAATTCTCTTCGATACTTCTGAAGGACGGCTACGATTACAGTAACGTTTCCATCCTCTTCTATGGAAGACTGTGGGGCGGTGAAGGAGGCGGCGAATTGGGGATTCTTGGGATAGGTTGAGGGGTTGTTGTTGCATCCACCAGCTGTGCCTTTTCTGGAAAACTTTTTTGTTTTTTTTTCGGATTTTTAGGCAAATCTAAATGAATTTATCCATCGAAATCAGTCTCAGCTGATCAAGAGCTTTAAAATTATACCAAACTCGTGGTGAGACCCATAAGGCGGGATACCGTAAGCGCCTTCTGCTTGAGCCCCACCCCCCCCCCCCCAAAGGTATTTTCATGCCGAAAAGCGTTGTAACTCTTTACACCCGTTGATCCTTTCAAAATTTGAAATTTTTAAAGAAAATTATATATTCTAGTAGCTAGGAATCTGAGGAGTATTTTGATATAAAAAATCCCCCGAAAAATCTTAAACTTACTTAGAACTCCACTCTCCATCTTCCATCACCTCATGCCATTGATGCTCCTCCTCTTGAGACGTCTCCTTAGCCCTGTCCACTCCAGTCATCTCAGCAATCTCGTCGAATATCTCGGCAGTCAAATTACACAACTCCATTTGTGTGAAATTGGCGAAAAAATCGTCGAAATTCATCCAAAACTCGCCGTCCCTGGCGAACTGAACGTCGATTTGTTTCTTGGTCGCCTCGTCGATTTTCGACCATTCCATAGAGCCGTCACTCCATGCGCCGTTCCATTCCTATGGAGAACATTTAGTTTAAAAAGATTAGGAAATTTGTAAATACAGAAAGTAACCCTATAATTCCGCAATTCATCTGGTTTTCGTAGCTACCGTAGTTTTTTAGATATGCGCATTTAAAGTTGGCTCCCCTTCTTGGCCCACCAGGTGCAAGGAAGACGCGCCAACTTTAAAGGCGCATAGCTCAAAAAGGGCGATAAAAATCACAATTTTGATAACTAGAATATTGCTTAGCATAAAATTTTCAATATTTTTCTAATTCGCCCTTTTTTGCTAGCTACCGTAGTTTTTGAGATATGCGCCTTCAAAGTAGGCGCGGCTCCCCTCCTTCTGTGAGGCACATAGAAAAGGAAGCGTCGACTTTGAAGGCGCATATCTCAAAAAGGAAAATTGCAATCAAAATTTTGTCAACTAAAAAGTTGCTCAGCATTAAATGTGAAATATTTTTTTAATTGATTTTTCTTTGCAAGCTACCGTAGTTTTCGAGATATGCGCCTTTAAAGAATTGCTTTTGATGGCGAACTTTATTAGGCGCATATCTCCAAAACCGACAAAAAAAACGAATCAAATTACCTTCTCATTACCCCATGGGTTTCTTAATCTCATGAGTGTGGTGTCCTGACCGTAATAGGGAATACTGTGAATTGCAGTGATACTGTAGGCGTGTCCGCAGACAAGACCATTCCGGAGTTGAGCCTCTTTGATGTTGGCGTCGGCCTAAAAACTAGAATATTGAGTTCAATTATCTCGATTCTTAGGATAGGTATCAAAAATATGTCAACTGATAAAATGTTGCTGATAATATGATAAACATTTTATCAGTTGACAGATTTTTGATAGTAGTTATAGGAACCGAGATAATTAAGCTGAAAAAAAAACCCACATCAATAGAGCACCCAAACAACGATCCCATCTCCATTCCCTTGACCAATGCGGCCAGTACAGTAGGCTTATCACTCTTCCGTAAATCAAAGTACTCTGTGAGTCCTCCGGTGAAATCTTCCAATGCCTCTGCAGTAGTTCCCCCGTCCAAGTTCTCGTATCCACCATGAAGTTTCGCATATGCTTTTTCAACTAGGGCACTCCAGAATTCAGTGTTATCAGCTGAGTGGAGATAGTACAATTTGTTATTGACAGTTGGGAGACGGTCGTCGACAACCACGTCCACCCATTTTCCATAGTGCCAGAATTGGAAATGGAAGATTCCTGAAAAAAAGCTCTTTGGGAAAGAAGGTTGACCACAAGAGCCCACCCTATATGTGCACTTTCAGCTCAATTATCTCAACTACTGTAAGAGAGATAAGATTTCGGCAACTGATAAAACATTGCTGATAATATGATGAACATTTTATCAATACAATTTTTTTGATATCTTTAACAGGAAAGAAGATTTATGCGCTCAAAGATGAAGAGTCGGTCGACGCTTGCAGGCTGACCTCTAACTTTGAGCTCAATTATCTCGGTTGCTATAAAAGATATAAAGAATCGGTCAACTGATAAAATATTTTTGATATTATGATAAACATTTTATTAATTAAAACTTTTTTGATATCTTTTACAGAAACTGAGCTACATAGGCGCAAAGTGACGATGTCGGCAGCCGGCCGCGTAGCTCAGCTGGCAAGCGGCGACGTTTAAAATTTGAGCTCAATTATCTCGATTTCTATAAGAGATATCAAAAATATGTCAACTGATAAAATATTAATCATAATATCACTAATATTTTATCAGTTGACAAAATTTTTATACCTTTCACAGGAGCTGAGATAATTGAGCTCAAAGTATAGGTTAATATTTCTTGCTAACAATCTCACCTGCATAATTCTCGGTAAAACTCTGATTTGGTGGAACAATCCGATAGAACAGCGCATCGTACAAAGTGATATTAGCCAGCGCCGCCAACAGCCAACAATCACCCAATGCTCCCTGCTTCACATCGAATCTCGATTCCCCCTGAGTAATCAATTGAGGATTCATAATGATCTCTCCGGGACGCTTCCAGATAATCCTGTCCCTTGGTGGAGTACGGTAGTAGAGAGAAGAGTTGTTTGCTGGGAATTCAGGGTCCTCGAATAGGGTCTTGTTACGAAGACACTTTTCTCGTTCAGTCTCAAAATCAAGACCGAAATCTGAAGCTTTGGGAGTGGGATAGACAGATTCGATGGGAGATATTGGGCTGGTTGGGGTTGGGGTGGGCACTGGAGCTACTGGCTTGGATGGTGGCGCTACAGTACCTCCTGGAGCCTTTGGCTCAGCTCCTTTTCCCCCGAAATCCAACTCCGGAACAATTGGCTTGAATTTATGAACCTTCCGCTTCCCGCATTTTCCACTAATCAATTTATCCAAATAGACTTTTCCAGTATTGCCAAGATTGTTATGAAGACCTCCGAAATTGAAAAAATCGTTGCCTCGAATCGCTCCCATGATTCTTCCATTGTCCGGATTGATCCGGCCAAAATGGTGGACAAAATCGCGGACATGTTGGTCCACGACTTTTTCCATTTTTCCGGATAACATGAAATTGGTCAGCGCTTGGCCATTTCGAGGATGACGACGACGCATATGACGCATGATGTTCTTGATGTCGTGACCACCAAAGCCATCAAACAGACCTGGAACTTGCAAAGTTAATTTTTAGAATCTAGAAAACTTTTAGAATTTCCGAACTTAAAAAAAAATAATCTGGAAGTTTTCTAAACTTTTTTGAATTAGCAGACAGCCCAGCAGTCTTTAAAGGCGCATATCTCTAGAAGGAAGATAGCTATCAAAATAATACAAATTACAAAATTGCTCAACATAAAATTTCACATATTTTTGTAGTTGATCAATTTTAGCTAGCTACCGTAGTTTTTGAGTTATGCGCTTTCAAACTAGGCTCGACTCGCCCTCTCTCTTTGAGAAAAGGATGTGTTAACTTCAAAACCGCCTATCTCAAGAACCGCAAAAACTGGTACAAAATTGTTCACAGAAAATAGAGCAAATTTAATTTTACACATTTTTCTAATTGATATATTTCGGCTAGCTACCGTAGTTTTGGAGATGTGCGCCTTTAAAGTTAGCGTGCCGTTTTGCACATCATTTGAAGAGAGGGGGAAGCGTGCCAACTTTCAAAGCGCATATCTCAAAAACTGTAATAGCTAAAAAAAATGTTAATTACAAAATTGTCAGCGTAAAATTTTACACATTTTTGTAGTTGATCAATTTTAGCTAGTTACCGTACTTTTTGAGATATGCACTTTTAAATTTTTACCTTTCATCCGACACCCCAAGCCATGGTTGGCACGAGTCTTTGGCGCCTTGCTCACAGCGATTTCCTTGCCATCCGGAGCCACCTCATCCTCATCATCCTTCAGATACTCGGCATAGTTAAGCTCGAAATCTGGAAATTGTGTTTTGGAAAAAAATTTTTTTTGGAAATTTGGTTATGCCTATAACTTGGCTAGAATTAAAAATTTTCAAAATTAATTTATATTTTTGAGCTTGCCTTGTCAAGAGCTTCAAAATGAGTATAAACATGAACATGTTCCTTTAAATTAGAAAATTGGCCCTTCAAAGGCGCATAGGGGGTTCAAAAATGGAATTTAAGGAAAGTAGGTCATGATTGTACTCAATGCGGCAAATTTGAAAATTTAAGTTTCATCAAGTCAAAAATTACCTCCCGATCCTTCATCCACCATAACTTTATCATTTTTTGGGCTCTCCAATTTTTCCGAATCCTCCAAAACTACCGGACTCCCATTAATGGTCCTCACAACACGATGAAAATTTCGATTTTCGACAAAAGTCTCGGTTACAGTAACCTCATTATTACTGTAGCTGATTGTCTTCTTATAGTCCACAGTACGGGACGAAGACATTGGGGGAATAATAAAGGGTATAATTTTGATTTTATTTTTTATTTTTTATTATTTAATATTTGCTTCTTATCAGGTAGTCAGAGGAGAGCCAGTAGGAGCTAGAGCATAAAAACAAAAAATATGGCTCTTGAAAAAAAAATTTTTGCTCAAAGAGCCGGAGGAGCCAGGCACGGCTCCTTTTCTCTAGCTATACACTATTTCTCAGTGTAACTCATTTAGACGACGTCCTCTTTAAGAAATGCACTCCATAGAAATTGGAGGAGGATGAGCAGAATACAAATGGATGGGAATTGGGAGCAAAGAACATTTTTTAGGGATTCGAGAAGATTGGTAGAGGGAAATTGAATTTTCGGAACATTCTAGAAAAAAAAATCCATCAAGAAAATTGGTATTTTTTTTAAATCTAGAATTCCCATTTTCAAAAGGTTGCCATTTTTGCTCTGGGCTCCAGGGAAGTCAATCATTTTAAAATACCATGTATCATCTACTAGAAGCCAAACCAAACCGTCAACTTTGAGCTCAGTTATCTCGGTTCAAATGAGAGATATCAAAAATTTGACAACTGATAAAATGTTGGTGATATTATGATAAATATTTTATCAGTTGACCACTTTTTGATATCTCTTACAGAAAATGAGATATATGGGCTCAAAGTTGACGATTTTCATGGGCTTCTATTAGAGGGAATGTGGTAGTTTGTAATTATTGTTTTTTGGAATCTTTGGGAATATTTAAAATATTTTAAAAATAGACTAAACTTTTCCGTAAAATATTTAATTAGTCTATTAAGCCCAATCATATAAATTTCAAAACCCAAAACTCACCATCCACCGGACTCTTATAGATCTCTTGGTCCACCAGCTTTGCATGGTTGGCCATATTGGTCTAGAAATTTTTAGAATAATTTCAAAAATACCGCAAAACCTGCAATAGAAGGGCACTATCAGGTTTGAGCTCAATTATCTCGGTTCCTATGAGAGATATCAAAAATTTCTCAACTGATAAAACATTTGTGATGTTATGATAAACATTTTATCAGTTTACAGATTCCTTGTATCTTTGAGAGGAACCGAGGAAAATTGAGGGCCCTTCTATTACAGGTTTTGTGTTATTAAAAAAAAAAACAAAAACAAAAACATAGTCATAAAAATGGAGAACAAACTGTGAAAAGGAACACAACAACCTCAACTAGTCGGGGAGAGAGAGAGAAAGAGAGAGAGAGAGAGAGAGAGAGAGAGGGTTTTTTGATGAGGTGCTGATATTGATGTTTGTACGTAGGTAGTCAAAAAAGGCAGAAAACTGAGGGGGAGTTTTAAAAAAAATAATTTTGGAAATTTAGCCAATTAAATACTATAGGATAATTAACTGCAATTAAGTTTTCCAGAGTGTTAGCTAATTTTTTATCGATTAAAAATCAAAAACCGAAAAATTTCATGTCAGAAATTTCGAATCAAAAATGTCCTCGGTTCGTAATTCCGCCCTATCTTTACTAATCAATTCTCTGTGTGAGTGTGTCCGTTTGTTCCCGGGTCGCACTGGGCCAAAATGTCCCAAATTTTTCTAGATGATCCCAAATAGCAGCGAGATGATGCCCGACCGTTTCTTTTTTGAAAATTCTGTTTCTGACGTCTTCTGGAGACGTTCTTCTATTTCTGCAGGACAACGTTTAAAGAAAACCAGTCAATTTCAGCTGCCTGTCGGCGGCTACAATCTCCTGGTTATAAACATCGATTCAATCATTTGAAGTCCCTGTTTTTCAAAATTAGCTTAATTTCTCAAACATTCAAATGGAACTATGGACTTTCCTTTCAAATTGAACTGTTCTAGTACCCGGAAAACATAAAAGAGAACATAGGAGGGGTCAGACAGCCAAACAAAAAACACGAAAACCAAAAAAAAAAAAAGAAAACAGAAATGCGTGTGTGTGTGTGTGTTGGTTTAGTGGTCAGATGGAAATGAAAGAAGAAGGAATAAAAGAAAAAAGAGAAAACGAGAGATATATAGTCGTGGGGCAAGGGACCATGAGTCATGAAGAGAGAGGGGGACCATGTGATGATGAAATGAGGAATAATGGGTAATGGAAATGGAAATGACTGACAGATAAGGGGAGATTTCGAAATAAAAGGGAGAAGATGCCTGGGATATACTGATGTCATGGGGGAGGAGGGTTTCGTAAGATGAGCAATTCTCCAGAAGTGTGAGGAAAAACAGATGCCTTTAAATGAAGATGAGAAAAAATGGGTCAGTTGGAATATTGGGGGTTTTTATAAGATCAGCCCAAACGTCTTGCACATTTCTTATGTTTCTGTGCTGAAATCTCATCAAAACAGCCTAGATGTTCTAGAAGAGTCTCGTTGAAGTCCTCTTTTGGGAGGTATTTGTACCATTCGCCTTTTTGAAGGGGTAGCAGGTTTTTGACAACTTCATGGTATTTTACTGGGTTGGCCTGAAAGAAATTATGTTTTTGATGCTTGTATAGCAACCCTGGATATAGTGAAAATTTACAGTCATCTTGGATTCTCAAATCTACATTAATCCTGGCTATCAAAAATCTAGAGTGATTCTAGATTCCCGAAATCGATAGTAATCCTGGATTTCCACAATCTACAGCGATCCTGGACATCCAAAATCTACAGTATTCCATGATTTCTTAAATATACAGTAATCCTAGATTCCCAAATCTACAGTAATCCTAGACTCCCAAAATCTACAGTAACCCCAGATTCTCAAAATCTATAGTAATCCTAGATTTCCAAAATCTAAAGTAATCCTGGTTTTCTAAAAATTTACGGTAATCCTAGATTCCCAAAATCTACAGTAATCCCAGATTCAGAGATGTCAGGCTATTTTTCCCTTCCGACTTCCTACTTCCGACTTCCGACTTCCAAAAAACGCACTTTATTTCCGACTTCTAATTCTCGAATGTCGCCAACGACTTTTTGCAGAAAATCTTCGTAATTTGTCCGTTTTCGATCAGAAAAATATATAAAAAAATTGCCGAAATTACCGTGAATAACATAAAATATGGTCTGAAATAACCGTAGACATAGCTAAATTTTTTAAAGGTGGGGGGACAGGAGATTTTACGGGGGATTTTTGGGGCCAGAGTATGCATTCTACCGTGACGGTGTACAACGCTCAACGCCACTCTGCGTACAGCTGTCGTCCTCGCCTTTATGTATGCAATCGGGCGACAGCTTTCTCTTTGCCCGTGTAGTTCAGTCGGTAGCGGCGCCGCACCCTCAATCCTCGCCCCCACACGTTCAACTCCTCGATGGGCATATTTAAACGAAATTTCGAGAACATTATTTTTTTCATGTCCCCCCACCTTTAAAGTTTAATTCCGATTTCCTTATTCCGGCTTCCTACTTCCGGGCGTTTTTCACTTCCGACTTCCGACTTCCTAATTAGAAAATTTACTTCCGACTTCCGACTTCCGAGTTCCAAAATTTCACTTCCTGACAACTCTGATGTAAACCCACATTTTTCGTTTTTTTCCCAAATTTCCCCAAACCAAAAACCTGTCAGAAAGACTCCCATACAAGTGAGAAAAATGACCTTGGAAGGCCATGAAAATCTTCGATTTCTCCTTTTTTTTGCCATTCCCCCCAACCATCTGCCTTCCCTCTCTAGAAAACTTTCCGATGTGACAGAAAACAGAGAAATAGTATAGGGAATTCGAGAGACGCAGAGATGCGGCAATTTTTGGTGGGAGTGAGATGGAGATTGTCCACTTTCTTCTTCTTTTTCTATTTTCTATTTTTTTTTCTTTTCTTGAGAAGATTGGAGAAGTTTAAAAACGTCCCCTCTCATAAAAGAGGCCCTTCTAATAAAGGTTATACGGTATCTGAACTTTTTAGATTTTGGATTTTTCTTGATTTTCCCAATCTTTTTTTTTCTATTTTTTCACTATTCCAGAAAATGGAAACTCGAGAAAAGCGACCTCCAAAAAAGAACAATTCCCTGCGCGTCAAAAAGGAAACAGCTGTGAAAAAAGAAACGAGGTCTCGACACGAAAAGAAGCGAAGAGAGGAGTTTAACGAGGTGTTGAATGAGATGATGGAGTTGTTGCCGGATGATTCGATAGCTGGAAAAGTTAATAAAACGAATCAAAAACCAAGGCAACCTGATAAGTGCTTTATTATTGGGAATGCGGCGGCGATGATCAAAAAGTCCGATTATAGTGAGCTTTTTTAATTTTGAAATTTCAACAATAATATAGAACAAATTTAGAACTTCATTTTTGCAGTTGACAATTTTTTTTCTACCTACCGTAGTTTTCGAGATATGCGCCTTTAAAGTTGGCGCGCCTCCCGTCGTACGGCGCCCAGAGGGAGGGAAGAGGGGAAACTTTAAAGGCGTATATCTCTAAAACTACAATAGTTAGAAAAAAGTTGACAATTAGTAAAATTTATAAAATACAATTTTACACATTTTACTCCTTTGCAAAAGTTGTCTAGTTATTGTAGTTTTTGAGATATACGCCC